GCCATGTACAGCCACCACGTCCCCGGGCTCGGAGTCTCGGACCATGGACGGCACCCTCCGCGCGCCACATCTGGCATGACCCCTTGGTCCTTTCGTGGGGAGCTCGCTAGAGATGCTCGGCGAGGCCGGCATGGCGGCGGCGGCGGCGGCCACGTGCCCGTGGAGATGCACACGCGTCTATTGGTGCTCGTGGCGGACAACACGGTCCGCGCTGTCAAGGCAGGGTGACCGGTGCAGGAAGTGCGGCGCCTTCCTCCGAGAGCTCGACTGGTCTACGGGTGTTGCGCTTCGCCCGAGAATCTTGCCCATGGACGAACGCCTGAGCTGCGCCTCGAGCACGTTCGTTGTAGAGGAGGGAGGAGGACATGGGGAGAGGAGAAGCAGCATCAGCTCGTAGCCCGCACCATGGCATGCGGGGAGGAGCAGCAGTGGCTTGGCATTGGAGTATGGAAAGAGGAGCAGCAACAGCATAGCATGACAGCAAGTGGGCTGCGGGACGAACATATAAGGAAGAAGGGCATTTGGGTCATCAAATTTGTAGTGTAATCTCAAACCAGGTAGAAAGGGCAAATCATCAAAGTTTTAGCGAAGGTGTGGCAAAAAATCGATGTCAATGAAAAGGAGGGCAAATCCTAGAAGTGCAAGCAAAGGTGGGGTAAATCCTCAAATTCCCCCCCAAGTACGTAAGTCGCAAATCTATTTTGAGATAGTTTTTTGAACTTCTGTATATGGTTTTCAAATGGCATTTCCAGATTTCCAAAAATTAGTCTGTTTTCACCTAGTAATACGTCCCCAGAGATTCTCTGCTTAGATCTCGGCAAACAAAATTGTTTTTCTTTAGAACCAGGGTGTTTTGACTTTTGAGTCTCAAACTGAAGAAAGGGAATTAAGGGAAAAAGGACCAGTTTGACTGACACATTTTCAATCAAGTTATTAACCTGTTTAAGTAAGGATAATTAGCCGTGCATATACATGGAGTGAGTCGCTCACAAAACAAGCAATGAAATTGGGAGCTGGGCTCCTTTTATCAAGGAAAAAAAACTCACATGAGAAGCTGTAGGCCATGCCGGCGGACATGTTGTAGAGCACGAAGGACGGCGAGTAGTTGCCTTCGTCGGCCGTCCTGAAGTCCTTGATTTTCTTGGCCCACCGGAGGATGCCGCCGTTGTACAGTGCAGGCTCAGGGTGGCCTTTGCACTGCAAAGAAGAAAGAAGCAGCAGAAAAACGCAGTGAGATAGAGACGTACGGCGCGAAGCAGAGTTTTATTCAGAGAGATCGATGGAGACGGCGCAGCGTACTTCAGCGTAGGCTTTGTAGTCGTAGCGCACCCCGTCAGCTGCACGGAGGGCGAAATTAAGTGGCATCAAAATCAGTAAGGCGTCGGCCATGCTATACAAGGCAACGCCTGCAGCATTGATCGGTTGATAGATGCATGTGTGCAAGCTTGCAGGGAGGAGCGCACTCACCAGAGGAAGCATGTGGAGCGAGCGAGGCGGCGAGCAGCAGCAATGGCAGGAGGACCGCCGTGGGCTTCATGGCCCGGGGAGGAGGAAGAAGAGGTGCCGCCGCAGAGTCCATAACTAGCTAGGTGCAAGAGGTGGTATGTTGAGACTTGAGAGCACGGGCAAACGGCAGGTGGGTAGCAACGAGCAAGTGTAACAGGCCAGCTCTCCCGTGATCCCTTCCTTGTCCCGTGTGTGCGCCTGTGCGGTCGGTGCGCCTACCGATCCAGCATTTATACTGCAACGCAACAAGGAGCTAGCCAGCGAGACAATTCGGCTGTAACGTGGATGATAGTAGTACTAGCTGGTTAATTAGCGCAACAATCTTACTAGTGCTTAATTAGGTAGATGAACATGAGCACTGGAGTAACCAAAGACCGCCTGGCAAGTAGCCAAGCTACACCTGCACAAGTAGGCTGTGGGTTTGACTAGTTGCTATGTTGCTCGTGGATAAACTAATGATTAGTTTACTCTTGTGAGCTGCGACGTTGCTAACTAAGTGCTGCTATGTTGCTCGTGGATAAACTAAGGGTTTGTCTAGGTCTCAGTCGACTGAGACTTCGCGAAGTCTCAGTCAAGCAATGTAGTATGCAAGAAGAAAAGAAAACTGAAAAAAATTGTTTGCACAAATCTCAATGCAAGATCAACAGATTGTAGTATCGACTGAGACTTCGACTGATTTTTAGCAAAGCCGATAAACTAATGGATAGTGGCGTTGGCATGAGAGGCAAGTTAGTGTTTGACTCGGCAGTCATTAAGCTGATTACATTGCATGCACGTGGAGAGCTCAGCAGTGCCCAGGGAATTACTTTCGGTGTGATATCTACACATACAGTGGTACGCGTGCAGAGTAGCGACTAGCAACGCAGAGAGAGACGATGGACCGACTGACTGACACCTCGCCGGAGAGCACTAAATTATACTCAGACGGTCAGTGTATACCATCTGTCACTCATCTCTGGGCATGGACACGCATGCTTCCAGCATCCATGGAAAGCCAGCATCGATCGTCTATGTACTGTTGGCCTATCATGTTGTTAGGACAAATCGGTGGGTGATTATTAGGCTATCATTCTGTTAGGACGGTCGACAAAGTCCATACCATCATTTGTCCTTGTTTACTGTTAAGCCGCGAGCTGTATGTTATGTGGTTTTGGCCTTTTGGGGACGCACAATATAGGCCCCCTTTGGTTTACCCGACATTTCTAGTGGGTGGCAGAAGGCCGGGACCCGGAACATGGAATGTTTTGACGGGAAAGTGGTGAAGAATCGTGCTGAATCAGTCTCCCGTTATTGCTGCTCTATCCTACTGTACTGAGAGCATCTCCAGCCCGTTTCCCCAGGGGCTAGAAAAAGCGTTGTTTGAGGGCGAACCGGCGGTAAATTTCGGCGTGGAGGCGACCGGGTTCCCAGCCGCCGCCCCAGATCGTCCCCGACACCCTTTTTTAGAAAACAAAATCATAAATCAGCCAGGGACACAATCAGAGGCTGCACGGCGAGGCCGCGGCTGCAATAAGGAGGGGGGCCGTGTTAGCCGGCAAGCATGCATCCGGAAATTGCTAATGAAGCTCGAGCACAAGCTTTGAAAATTTCAAAAATTAACTGATTTTAGTATATAAAAAATTACAAAAGCATGCACATAAAGGATGTTGGGGCATTTCCAACGCCAGCCCTCAGACCTCCCGCAACCGTTCAAACCATGCTATTCGGACAGCGGAAACCATCCAACGTAGGCATGTGTCGATCCGTAGGCATTTGAAGAATTGTGCTGAATCAGTCTCCTATTATTCCTGCTCTTACCTACTGTACTGACTCACTCAGGGACACAATCAAAGGCTGCACGGCGAGGCCGCGACTGCAGTAAGACCATTTACAGACCCCTCAAACATCCGCGGACATGCTCATCATGAACAGTGACTAGACACTCCTCAATTTAAAATAACTGCATCCGGATTCCTCATACTAGATTTTCAAATCCATACAAACGTAGGCAAATGAAAAAAATACTCTTTGTTGGAGATGTCGACTATCTTCGTGCCCGGCTCCGGGTACATGGGCGGCAGCTGCTGTTCCGGCTCCCGCCTGCTCTGCTCCGGCCTCCTCATCTATCTACTAGTCGAGTTCGGCGAAGAGCGCATCGGTCGCCGCCTACTCCTGCCGGAGGAACTGCCGATTGGCCTCCACATAGCCTTCATCATGGATAGACTCCAGGATGGCCAGCTGCGGGCTCTGCCATCTCCGCGGCTTGTGCGACGGCGAACTCCGCCTACGCCTCCTTCATGTTGAACCCCGGGGCAGGCTGCTCCGCCTCGTCCTCCTCCGGATCTGTCACCTCCATCGGCTCCGGCAGCTGCTCTTCCTCGTTCTCCTCCGACTGCTGCTCCTCATCCTTCTCCGGCTCCGACGAGTCCGGAGGCAGGCCGACAGCGATGTGGGCGGAGCGCATAGCCTGGATCCCCTCCATGATCTGTCTCCGGCGCTCCAGCGTGAGCATAGCGTATGTGGCAATCTTTCGCTGGACCATGGCGATGCCGGAGAGCGGGGGAGAGGAGGCGGACGGGCTTGGATGGCGACACAGAGAGGGAGAAGGTGGATGGGCTAGGATTGGGGGAGGCTGGCCGGCTTAAAAAGCCGGGTTTGGCCTCGGGCGGCGAGCTGGAGCGGTGCCATGCGGCGTTCACACCGCAGCGATGGAGGAGGCGTCCGTTGGACCACTGGGTTTACGTGCGATTCCACGAGACCCCATCGTCAGTCCTATGTGACACCCCCATTATTCGTCACATATTTAGACTAAATATGAGGGGTGCCGGTCAGCCCAGCACTATACAGTTCAGTTATGCAGAATTGCACAGAGCTGGTTAATGTTGACCTGATACGGTTCCTAACTCTTAAGCATCCTATCCTTTTTAAGCATTACAAGTCGCTCAACTACCGCCGCCATGTCGGGCCGATCTTCTACATCTTCTTTTAGGCACTCAATTGCCAGCTTGCCAATTTCTTCCAGGCAATAGATATCTTCTTCTTCAGCTGCGATCTCCTTGTCCAACATTGCGCTACCGCTCTTTTCTTTCTCACAAACTTTACGGAACTCCAAAATGAGGCTACAGTATTTGTCGTATACACTTCGCTTCCTGGTAATGAGTTCTAAGAGAACCGCCCCAAAGATGTAGACGTCGCTTTTTTCTGTCAGTTGCCCCGTTTTAAGGAACGTTGGGTCAACGTAAGCCATGTCCCCGGCTACAATCTTGCCGAAATAATATTCCTCTCTAAGCAGCTTCCATAACCCGAAATCCAAGATTTTTGGTACGAACTTGTCATCCAGAAGTATGTTTTCCGGTTTGATATCACCATGCCGTATGGCTTGATCTCCATAGGAGTGCATACATGTTAAGCCCCGTGCAGTTCCAATTGCAATATCCAGACGCAAGTCTAAGGGGAGCTTTTGGTTTCTGCTGTTGCCATGAAGGATGTCTTGAAGACTTCCTTTGCCAGCAAACTCATACACCAACATTCAGTGGCGAGTCCAATGGGCAGGCTTCAACAGGCTGAAGCCTGCCCTCGATAGAAAGCAATTTTTTTTACTACTAGTATGCTTCGTTTCGGCCCGGACCAACTAGTCCCAGCGCCCAGCCCATCAACTCCCAGCTCCCAGCCAGACGTGTTTCCCGTTCTCTTTC